TCTAATCGCAATCAACGCGAAGGCGCAAGAAGAAGACAAAGCGAAATAAAACTGGGATGAGAAACAAATTGATGTGGCGGCAGAGTGATGCAGCATGCATGTTGCTCGACCAAGATTCGACACAACGAACGGTTCGTTCGAGTCGCTCGAATTGTCGTGCAAATGGGCCCGGCTCGACCCGGCGCACGGTGGATCGAGTCAATAGGAGAGGTCGGACAATATTTTGAAACTTTAAACGCTTATAACTCCCTTTATACAAAACTTTGAGGTTCTAAAAGTAGTTTCATCGGTTTCCTCATAAGATTGTCTTCTAAAAACACCACTTGAAATGTAAAATGTGACGAAATAAACATCAAAATTTGCAGTTTAAGTCGAAAATTTCATGTCCGACCTCTCTGATTGACTCGATCCATTGTGCGGCTCGGCGTCCCCCAGCCCCTAGCGTCATCCCGAGTTCCCCCGAACAACATCCGCCACATGTCCCGTTCCACGCTCGCCGTGACGTCATACACCGTGCGGACCAATCAGAGGCTTCGAATTTTCCCTCAAAACGGCGACCCTCAGGTTTAATATCCCTCGACGCTTCATTATCTCTTGAGTGCCCGTCTTGAGAATTTCTCGCATTAGAAAAAAAAAAAAAAAAAAAACATATTGGATCCAGAGTCCAGACTCTTATAAACATCGACAAGAAAAAGTACTCTTGATTCAATCAGAATCTAGATTAAATCAAGAACCAAGCCTCCTAATTTAAGCGGATTTCGTTTTGATTCAAGCAAAAATCCGATTGAATCAAGAGTATTTTTTCTTGTCAACGTTTTCAAGAGTCTGGACTCTAGATCCAATGTGTTTTTTTTTTTCCAGTGCAAGCATGTAACACGTAAGAAACAACTTAGCGCTAAGCCCTAAAACTTTAGATAAAATAGTGCCAACTAAAGGCAGTGGGGCCATGCTAAGAAAGAACGCCGTATGAGCCGTCAGACGTTGCCATATTTCCTTCAATGAAGAAAAAATGTATTGGGAAAATTCTTAATATTTTTCTTCAAATTTGTCAGACAATTTTGTTCGAGATTTAATCTAAAATATCTGAAAATTTCAAGGAAAAAGATACACGACTTTCCTAAAAAATTCATGTTTTATCAAGAGAAATTTGGCAACACTCGAATGTTCAAACGGCGTTTTTCCTTGGCACGGCAGAGTAGGGCTGAGCCCTATAGCTACCCTAAAGCTGTGGGGCTCAGTCTTACTGGCTTCAGGTGGTGTTTACCTTAAGTGTTAGAGCTCAACACTAAGTTATTTTTTCCGTGAATGGTGGCAACTGCAAAAGGAGGAGGGTTAGGAAAATAGATCGCATTTAGCAAACAGGAACCAGCGTGATTACAGTGTTGTAAATATGTTGCTTCTTAATAGTCATCCAAAAGCCCCCACAATACAGCAAAGAACTTTGGCTTTCCACTAAAACATTGTTAATTTTAAAGGAAAACAAATGTGTGAATTTTAATACTGTACATATATAAAGTATATTTTTAAAAGGGAAGGAAAAGTTTTACGATTTTGAAAATACAGTAGTCGCGCTGTTTCCTTTTTGCTAAATACGATGCACTGGAAAAAAAAACACATTGGATCTAGAGTCTAGACTCCTAAAAATATCGACAAGAAAAAATACTCTTGATTCAATCAGATTTTTGCTTAAATCAAAAGGAAATCTGCTCAAATTAAGAGGCTTGGTTCTTGATTTAAGCAAAAATCTGATTGAATCAGGAGTATTTTTTCTTGTCAATGTTTTCAAGAGTCTGGACTCTAGATCCGATTCAATCAGATTTTTGCTTAAATCAAAAGGAAATCTGCTCAAATTAAGAGGCTTGGTTCTTGATGTAAGCAAAAATCTGATTGAATCAGGAGTATTTTTTCTTGTCAATGTTTTCAAGAGTCTGGACTCTAGATCCAATGTGTTTTTTTGTGCAAGTGATAAAAACCCGAAACAGACATATTTTTGTCGAAAAATGAGCAACTGAAGGGTGGAAATTCAAAACCTGCTCAAAGAAGCTTTTGAGGAAGCTCTGAGGACTTTTTCACGTAGTGAGAGGCCCACGTGGACGTATTTCTATGAAACGGAACTATGTGCATTACAACATGAGCCCTAAGACCCATACGAATATGTACATAGGGCTCACGTCATAATGCACATAGTTACGTTTCATAAAAATACGTCCACTTTACTGATTGAGAGTGACAGATCAGGAAACCTACAACGAAAAACGAAAAACGAAAAGTCATGAAAAAGTGTGAAATAAGAATATCTAATTTGATGTGAAAATTATATTTACAGAATTGCAGCCGATCTTCGTTAAATAATAAATATCTTTGTTGAAATATGAAATAAGGAAGCGTACACTGACTCAACGTTTTAACCGAAAGTTTGAAAGTCACATAGAGTCTTAGGGCGGAGAGGAAGTTTAAACCCGCTTTTTGATGGGTCAAATATGGATTTTAGTACTGAATTTTAACAAAATATATTTTGAGACTAGTTTTCATTGAAAGCATTAATACATCAATGTTTCAAAAACTGCACTTATGCACCTCATCTTCCAAGCCCCTCAATTCTGCTCCAAAATTTTCATACAGATAGATGACATGCACTTCCTCAGCATTTACTTCATATGAAGGACCATCCAAAAAAAGAAGACATATGCATTTGTTGTCGTTCAGATTGTGCATGCAGCTTTCGATGTTTTTCTTTGTCGACCGATACTTGGAATTTTTACATGTTTGCCTTCTACAACCTTCCCTTCTATAAAATTAGTATCCTGAAAATTCTGTGTGAGGTCAAGTGAGTTTTTATATTAACGTAAAAGAACGGCAAAAATACACATGACCTTGGCAACACAAGATGGACATATGCCTCTTTTTCGAATGGTCCTTGCAGTCCCAAGTAGCATTCTCTAACGGAAACCCGACATGATAATCAACATCTCAGCAATTATCCTCAATATTATGTCAATTATATCTCTATAAAATTGCTTTCGATAAAATCGTAATTTTATCTGAATTTATCACGATGTTTGTTCGGTAATATTGCCATAAATCGCCGTCGATAAAATCCCAATTTTATTGCAAATTTATGCGATAAAATCGCACTTTATCGCAATTTTTTATCCGCTAATATTGCAATAACTCGACGTCCATAAAATTGCGATACATTCTCCCATATCAAATCGCAACTTATCGTGACCACAGATACTTGCAGTGTACTATTTTAGGCGACTTTAATTTAGTAACTTTAAGTAAAGGATAAAACTCACAGGCTAGAGATCCCAGTGCAAACAGAGCACTCCGTCCAATAGCTCACCGAATTATTTTTTTCCAAAAATTGAGAGGTAAAAATTCGTTCCAACAATAGATACCCGAAACAAGGTATAAAACGCGGTTAATTTTCACTGCTTTCGCGTTTTTATCAATTCAAAACGAAACTCCAAAAACGCACGACATTATTAATTCGATCGAAAATTTTTATAAGAGGAGGACAAATACTGACGTAAACACGCGTATAACCTCACAACGTGACGAGAGGCGGTGGACTACGACTTGAACGAGCGACGCTCACAAACTGAGAGGTACCGGCGCCCGGCAGACTGCACGACGCGATACTCGCGGGGGTCCCCCGATTTCCACCAATCAGAGGGCGCGAAGCCATCGGAGCCGACCTCTCGCTTAGCGCCATTCATATATGATTATTGACATCCTGTACAGCTTGTTAGAAAGACTCATTATGGATTAGGAGGGAATGGCGTCCCCTGCCGTTGGTAAGACCAAAGACTTTTTCATATTAAGGCGAATTTTAATCCAGTCCAGTCTAGTTAAGTCCTAGGAAAGTCTAGTTAATCTGGCATTTTTGTACTTATAGGACTTTAACTCCCTTAAGTCTAGTGATTTGTAGACTTTTTGAAATTTATGATCCGCATAGTTTTTTTTTTATAATTTTGGACTTGATTGATTTCCTGTTTTCGTGATTTTGTTTTTGAGCGCTTCCGGATTTTGGTGTTTAAATTCCTCTACTACTTGTTTGTAAATTTATCTACCATCTTTTCTAACCGAAGAATTCAGCAATTTTTATCTTTATAATACAATAGAAGTTAGAGTAGTTCTATTTATCTCTTTATTTTGCTTATTAAAAACTCGATTCAATTGAAGCTATATCGTCACTTTCCGGCCAAGGTATCACAAGCGTCATGTGACGTTGCAGAATTTCCGCCGCTATTTTGTTTTGTACAGAGAAATTGTTGATTGGATCTGTTTGAAAATCCACCGACTTTTATCGGCAGCACAAAGAATTTTTAGTGGATTTTCGGACAGCTTCGTTGAAAAAATTCTCTGATAAAAAAGAAAATGGCGGCGGAAATTTTGAAACGTTGCATGGCGCTTGTGATACTTCTGCCGGAAGGTGACGTTATAACTTCAATTGAATCGAGTTTTTTTCTACTTGCCAAGAGGTGCTATATAGGAGCATCTCTGTATCAGTATCCTGGAGCCAAAAGGTAGCTAACTCACATTTTTGGAAAAATCGAGTTAGTAAAGTTCGTGAACTCTCCATTAACGATTTTGTGAGTGTGTGAATTTTTATTTCTCTCGATCAAATAAAGCTATCAATAATGTAGTTTACGAAGAAGGGGGTTAATCCATATCCCCTTGCCATTTTCTATATACTTGACGAAACAGTTTTACGCTCTAAGAGTTTCAGATTAGGTAAAGTATGGGTATGTAAGCGATCAAGCCATTTTCAAGTATCAACCTCCAAATTTGAGTACACAATTACCTCCATATAATTTATAACCAAAGTTAATACTCTAGGCTGAGAGGCTTTCGTCAGTCGAAACTGAGTAGTCTCAACACAAATCGATTAACGTGTGTGATATGAAGGATCAAGGCTTTAAGTTCAAACTACTTTGCTCGTGATACATATATTTGCAGGTTTACTGATAATAATGGCACAGAATTATCAGAGAGCTCTCATTTGGACGCTCAATGCCGCCCGATCCGTGACTTTTAAATTTCAATATCAATTTTATGCTTCGAGAAATGTGAATCAATTTAATGTGTGAAAACTTGTGTGAGCTGCCTCCCTTCCAATCCATCAATAATACTCTTTTCAAATTACAATTTCGATAGCTCTTTTTTCTCAACATTTCAGTTTCTAGGTAGCATTTTTTTTCTTTCTTTTTAAGACACAAAAATCTAAGACAAATAATTGTGATTCTTATTTTGGATTGATACCATGAAAATTTTGTGCCAAAGAGTTGTAGCAGAAAAAGTATAGTGGGTGCGTGAGTATAAAACGCTTTTCGTAGGACTAGAGATGTCCATCCGATATTTTTTCTACATTGTGATCTTGTGTTGCGGCGCAAATGCTTTTAACGTTTTGATCCTATCTCCAGTGCCATCTTTTAGCCATCAGCGTCCTATTTTGACTTTAACAGAGAATCTGGTTAAAAAAGGACACAGGCTTTTTGTCGTTAGTCCCAATAAGGCTTCGGTAAGTCTGTACTCATTCTTTCCTTACCTATGGTGTATTGCGTAGAATACTGCTTCGAATTCGTAATCGTATGATAGTCACCTCTTTCAGTCCGCATTTCATGTCCGTAATACTCCATTTTTTTCATTTTTTTAATATCATCAATCAAATAATTTGGATGAATTTTTTTTACTCAGAGTATAAAGTTTCATAAGACTGTCTGACACTAATTCTAAGTAAGCTCTTCCGCACTATTTTTTCCTAAGCAGCTCGAACCTCAATAATTGAATCGTTTCTGTTAAACGGTTGTAAGTCGAAAAATTCATGAGCCATAGCGTACTGCGTAATCAACGGAAGTCAGGGCTTTTGATTTTCTGGACTAACGCCCGTCTAACAGAAACCGATTCAATTTAGAGTTTAAAAATGACCACTTTTTTCGTATAATTTGGTTTCCCAACACAACTTGTTACACTCATGATCGGAACAAAATTTTGAAGAAATTCTTAAGTCCTACATAAATCTATGTGAAACTGTGTGTAATTCCCATAATTTGTAATATAGTTGCAAAATCAAACTAATTAATTTGATATATATTTATTAATGAAGCGCGCATCTACACATTCAATTGGAATATTCTGCATTTTATGTATTTCATTGCTGTATTTTTTACGTGCTTATTGTGATAATTGTATGTATTGGTAAACATGTGTAATGCGCACAAGTACATATGTTCAATACATTTTAAAAATAAAAGCAATCGTTTCTATCGACGAAGCTTTGTACAGTTTCTTAACTTTTAATCTGACTGAGTAATGAAGTAAGATAATTTTCAGACAGGAGCTTTAACTTGCGCATGCGGATGATCAGGTCATATACATGCCGAAAATCATAATATAAAACAGGCCTCAGTCAGTAAAGGAACATCTTTAAAGGGAATGAAATGCAGTTCAGAAATCTCGCTGAGCCCTGAAAAAACGTTCCATGTTGAGATCGGCAAATTTTGGCGTGCAATAGGTGCATCTGGAAAAATTTACATTGCATGTAGCCCATGATTTGTTTTACTAATTCATGAAAAATACTGATTTCTTATGGTGCAGGGTTTGGAGCAGAATGCGAACTACACTTTCGTGGATCTTTCGTTTTTGTACGATTTTTTCAAGGATAAAGAAGAAGATGGTCACATAAGCGTGCAGAGACAAATTTCAAAATGGAACTTGTATTCTTCAATCTTCGGTATAGGACCAAAAATAGCAGAATCCCACCTGACCAGTGAACAATTCCTTCAGTTTAGGCGGTAGGAATACCATTTCATATGACCTTCTAATGATAAATGAAGTGATAAGATTGAATAATGGTCGTGGGTATAAAAAACTTTCCTAACTTTTCTGGGAAAAAATATTTAATCGGGAGAAACGAGGCAACGTTGGAATGCTCATACACCGTCGAAACATAACATACGCCTTTTAAGCCCTATTATTCGATGTTGCGATTATTCTAAAGCGAGTTCGAATAATCGCCTCAAACACAGTGCGGCCGGCATTACACGTACATTAGTGCCTGCAAGACTTTAGGAATACTTCACGCATAGCGCCATACAGTGCGGCCGGCGTGACACGCACATCAGCGCCTACAAGACTGCATGAATACTTCTCGCATTGCACCAATCGCAGTGCAGTCGGTCAGTTGGCGTGAAACGCATATTAGCGCCTACAAGACTGTAGGAATGCTGTCGGACTGCGTGTCATCATTCTTGACTTTCCGCTCCAGTTTTTATTATTACATATATTAAAGGGAAAATAAGTGTCCTTATTATAACGATCCAGAAACTTGGATGATTTTTTTTTTTCTTTCTTTCTTTTTCTTTTCGGTTAAATTTAAAGAAAATAGAACAAACGAAAATATCACGTCGATAATTTTATTTGAGATCATTTACGTGAATTCACGGAAATTTTTCGAAAAAACGGTGTGCAGCTTTTTAAAAACATATATTAAAAATAAAACACAAAAGTGGTGCATAACGTTGCAATCAGAGATAAATATACGCTTTCTTTCGGGTGTGCCTGTCGGGTTTTGAATCCATTCACCTCCTAAAAAACTTGAACATGGTTGCTCTACGATTTTGAACGTGTAGTTTTTTCCAGTGGTTGGCGGCCGCGTTGCGGCCACATGCGCCTAGTTCATTTTTTAAATATCTGTGAAAGCTCTCTAGGCCATTCGTGCTGAAAGGGGTAGCCACCAAAGAGAGAAATACGTAAGTGAGGAGGGAATGAACAGTCTTCCGCGATATAGTTATCATACCACCAACTACCAAGGTTGCCAGATTAACGCTTTCTCGTTGAATATTGAATATTCGCGCAAACATGTGACTTTTCAGTACCAGAAAAAGCCCGCACAATCCTATGAATCTCCAGAAAGGTAAGAGAGGGGGCATTCGCGCAATCCTATCGCAGCCTTTCCCCCGAGGTTTTGGCTCAACAAATACGTAGTAAACCATTGAATCATCTATTTTACCTTGAACTTTCAGAATATCAAATAAAAAATACAAGGTTCAATGAGCCATTTTATCAATTTTTGGTTCCAGGCGCGTCGATCAGGAGGGGATTAAGTTCGACGTGGTCATGATCCAATCGATATTAGCTCCTTATCTAGTTCCAGTTGCTCGTCTACTAGCCGGGGATGCGCCCATCGTCAGCATTTCATCTTACGCTATGGATTGGCTGGCAGAGGACGCCTTGGGCAGTCCAGTCCATCTATCGTTCCTACCGTCCATCTTTGGCCACTACACGGATAAAATGAACTTATGGCAGAAGCTCGAAAATTGGTTCTCTCATACTTTCATTGTGTCCGGCGTTAAGAGGAATATAGGGACCGCTGCCAGGAGGTTCTTCACGGATGTTTACGGTCTCAACGCGACGTTTGTGGATGACTCGCCGTGGGAGAGAATCTGTCTTACTCTCATCACGTCTAACTCGCTGTACTACTATCCGAGACTTCTTGGTCCGAATGTTGTAGAAGTTGGGCCGCTCCATATAGGAGCGCCGGGTAAACTACCGACGGTAATATACATAGAGTAGATAGAGTCGTAATGTAAATGGGAGAGCTGGCGCCATGTTCTGCTCGACGAGTTTCGAGCCCGGTGTGCGCCGAGTTCGGGTCACTTTTTCGATATATGTTCGATCCAAAATGGCGGTATGGAATACGTGGTGATTCCTATCTCATTTGTTTACATTGGATGGCCGGGTACCCGTGTATCACGAACAATCGATTATGTATCGAAAACCGACCCGGCGTCACACAGGAGTCTCGGAATTCGGGACCTGGAAAATGCTTAAAAGTGGCGCCAACTCACCCACTTACATTACGACTCTATGTACTCTGTGGTAATATACAATTTATATTTGGACGTACTTATCGACGGTGAAACTACCAAACCACGTATCTCGGTTTGCGACGTCGCAGACTTCCTGCCATACTTTATTTTTTAAGTGAAAAACTACTTAACGTCCAGTCTTGAAAATTTCTGTGATTTTTCCTCTTCGCGCAGAGAATATTCTGTGAAAATTTCAAGGAATGATATTGATTTGGTCTACTTCAAAAAAATAAAATGTGAGCGTAAATTTTTAAACACCGCAAACGAGATACGTGGTTTGGTAGTTTCACCGTCGTTATGCGCAAAGGAACTATATGCAATTGCAAAGATGGCGTGTGCCCGTGGAAGCTGGATAAAAGACAACGTAAAAGTGGGTATAGTTCCTTTTGAGAATGGAAAAGCGGGATTTTCAATTAAATCAACCGGATCTGAGCGCTAATTCGTGAGCCGCGGGATCTCTCCTCGTTCCGCCCGGTCTCGGTCATTGTCGTTGACGTCACTGGCGCTTTTAAAGTCCCATTTATTCTTAGGGCTCGACCACTAACGAGCACCCCCCATCTTTCCACTTGCACATAGTTCCATTTAGCATAAATACGTCCGTTTGAAAAGTGTTTAAGACGATTACTGATGCATAGGGAGAGATGCATATCTCAAGCTGTATACCACAGAAAAAGTCTGCAGCTCTTTAATCGGTCGGCGAGTCTTAGGGCCGTATTGAAAGTCGTTCCTGAAACAGCTACCTTCTCTGGGGCGGTTCTATGTACACGGCTGAAGTACGAAACCACGTACCCTCGTTTGCGACGTTGTAGTCTTTCAGTCATACTTCATTTTTCCCTTAGAAAAGTAGTCAAATTAATTTTTAAAGACTTCCTTGATTTATCTTCTCTGATAGTACAATGTTCTGTATACATTTCAAGCTATGAAGCTGATGTGTTCCTCTTTGAAAAAATAAACTAGAGAATGAGATTTTGAGACACCGTAATGGAGATACGAGATGTCGTACTTTGGTTTACATTATGTGATTTGGGTGAGGGGAAGGTTAAGGACACATTGAACATGACATCATGAAAAGGACACTTTTTTACACAGAAAATCTAAAAAAATTAAGTTCGCCTTCAATAATTTTGTGGCAATATGAGCGGCTTTGAAGCACTAATAGTTGCGTGCAGTAGTTTTGTCACCGTTCTAATTTTCACCCTCTGAAATAAGTCAGGACATAAACTTCGATGGATAATTTTTGCGAGAAAGAAGCTTTTTCTGTGAATTTGATTAATTTATCTCTCGATAGTAAAAATTATTTTTGATCAAATTTGTTCGTATTGGATTTTTAATAGAGGTCACGAAAAAATATTTTGGTAAAAATCTCGCCTTTCACGTAATTTTTCCATGTTTGATACTTATCGTTAAATTAACTTTACTGTGACATTTTTACGGTAAGACCTCAACAATACAATTCACTCAGCCAAAAAGTTGGCTTCCTTTATCTTTTTAGACATTGCGTATGATGCAGATAATTTCCTTTAGGTTTTACAAAATTGGTTAGACGGAGCGAAGAGAGGAGTCATTTACTTTAGTCTTGGAAGTAATATGAAAAGCAAATCTCTGGCGCCAGACGCGCTTGAAAACTTCTTGGAATTTTTCCGAGGTTTACCTGCTGGACACCGAGTTTTATGGAAATGGGAATCAGATCAAAATATTCCTGGACAATCGGATAATATTTTGACCCAAAAGTGGATGCCTCAAAGCAGCATACTTGGTAAGCACAATATTGAACTTTATTTTACATTTGGGAACTACAATATCTGGTTCTGGATGTGATGATGATAATAGAAGAACGAGGATCGCGGTCCTCTTGAAAGCACGTCAAGCATCTTTAATTTCATACGAGGAGGAAAAATGAAGAATTTGTGAGTTTCTTTTAGATCACAGAGGGAAAATGTTTTAAACTTTTCCTGTGATGGATCAACAATTTTGAGTTTACATTCAGTTACCATTTTAATCTACGAAAAAGAAAAAGAAAATCTGAATGTCATTCTACTGGCGAAGAAAACCTTTCACATGCAAAATGCTTGTATTTCTGTCAAGTAAGAGGGGGACTAAGCTGTTTAGCGGTCCAACCCCCTGAAGCGCTTCGCGCCTTAGGCGTTGTGCGCTAAGCGGTACTCTTGGACTTAATACTTAAAATCATATATGCCGCATGAGATGCGGTCACAAAAATTATTCTTTCTTTTCTGAGAGAAAAGAAAGGACATGACATAGAGGAATCCTAACTAATAGCAATTAAATTAGCCGAAATTTGTAACTTGGATACTCGGTGGATTCTAAGAAGTTCGAAAGATTTTAAGCATACCATTTCACACATTGCATATTTCGCAGCGATTCCCTTCCTTTTTCGAGACCAACTGAGAAGAGTGGCAAGTTACAAAAAGTCGATGATGATGGGTGGGGTGGCATATCATAAAATCACTCATAAAATCGCTGCATTGTATATTAAATTAGATGTGACCGAGTCAAGTTGTTACATATTTAGTATGTTTTATTGTTTATGAACAGCGCATCCAAAGGTAAAATTATTCATCACTCAAGGAGGACTCCAGAGCTTTCAAGAGGCAGTACATTTTGGGGTCCCCACAGTAACTATTCCGTGGTTCATAGATCAGGAACTCATGGCGGCGAAAACACTTGATGCAAAAATCGGAGGGAGGTTGTCCCCGCAAGACATTCACTCGTTTACCAAGATCAAATCTACTATCGAAACGGTATTGTATAATGAGAGGTATGTTTAACGGACTGAGTTAATTTTTTATTTCGTTATTGCCAGTGTTGATACTCAACATTATGGTAGTAGCACTTTGTGCAATTGTTGGTTTGTTGGGTAGCCAGTGCTATGGGTTAAAATAAAATGTTAACTCACATTAACTTTATTATAGTCGAAGCTTTTCGGCCTCAGCCATCGTCAGAACTCAGTAAAAAAACACACTTTGAGACAGTACATGATTAATTTTGATCAATATCAGTTCATATAAACGATGTCAATGTTTGTCAATACATAATATGTTGTTCACAAACATTTACATCATATTTGTATGTATGAATGTTTGTATGAACTGATATTAATCAAAATTAATCATGTATTGTCTCAAATTGTGTTTTTTTGCTAAGTCCTGACGATGGCTGAGGTCGGTAAGCTTCGACTAATAAATTCGTCGATTTCAAGTTAACGTGAGTTAACATTTTATTTTAAACCATAGCACTGGCTATCCAACAAACCAACAATTTTTATTTCAGTTGTTTGCTGTCGGCGTAAAATCATACGGTGAAACTATATGAACATTTTAGGAATGTCAGACACAGTCCGTACCGAGTTAAATACGCAAAAAATAGCCGGTGGAAAAACTAATACCTAATTAAAATGAATGCCAAGTGCGACGGGCTATTGGGATTGGGCGGTGTAGCGACCAAGGGGCATGAGGACCAGTAAATAAATAAAGGAAAAAGAGATGCTTTAAAGCAAATGAAATCAAACGTGAGAAAAATGGATGACAGTTGCAACGGAGCGTTATTGCGAAGTCACGCTTCACGCCAACGCGCCTTCAATTTTGGAGATGCAACACGGACATCTATCGAGTATTAAAAGTTGTATCTCTGCGCCGTTGTCGACGCGCGTCCTTTTTCCTTCTTCTGTTGCCGTGTTGTACTGGTTCCGTATGTATTATTTTGTAATCACATTGACAATGCTCAGCCGAAAAATGGAGAGACGTATTCGGGCCTCGTTTCTTAACTTTCCTACCGAATCTGAGCAACATCTTATAAGCAATATGGAGAGGGGCATGGAAGCTCATGCCTCACGCCAAAGCTTCTCAATTTTGCAGATGCAATACGGACATCCACCGAACACGAATAGTTGTATCTCTGCGCCGACATCAACGCACGTGGAAGTGTCCCTCATTTATTTGAAGTTTGAGAAAAGTTAAGTTTGAGTTTGCTCAAATTAAGATGGGTTCAAATCAAATATCATTTTGGAAAAAAGAACAAAAAAAAAAGAAATAAAATAAAATAAATAAAAAATAAATATCGAGGTACGTGGTCGCGGACTTTCACCGCCGATATGAGTTAGTCACTTGGGTCAATTCCATAAATTGCGGACGAAACCATGTATTTTACTTGTCGTATTTTGCTGGAGACTTTGCTTTAACTTGTCTGAAACTTTATGAATTCCGTGTTCTAGAGGAAACTTTTAGTGAACTGAACACAAGGATACTGTTCATAAATTGAACAATAATTGGTAGAGATATGAAAAAACTATATAATCTGCTAGAATACATATTTTCAAATGGGAAATGCCGCCAAGTGACGTCACTAGACAGTGCATTTTCTCTTTACAAAATCTATTTTTTTTTTCTATGTCCCATATCAGAAATTTGTTTTAAAAACTATTGCGAAATCAGTGCTTTAAGCACTTTCAGTCTCTAAGATGAAGCAATAAAAATTTGCGTCCAAATTCTCCATTGTGATGAAAGAAAAATGTTGAGAACTTTATACTATCTGGTGGCCTGGCCACCCTGGTAAAAATTGGCGGTGGGATCTGTGTTCCAAAATACTGTAGACCTACAGCCGGCCGTAAGATTTCCAATAGCTTCTATAGTTGGCTGTACAATTTCTTACAGTCTTTCATAGCCGATGGCGGTAAAGCTACAGCCAGGCGATGAAGTGTATGCTAAACGTTACTAATTACGGATGCTAGGACTTGGTGAGTTTTTGGACTACCGCTCTCTTTCTGGGCCGTAGTATCTTGATTTATTTTGCGAGGAAAGCTCCGTACCTACTTTTGAAAGATGCCTGCCATTCCTAATATGTTGGAGTGCCTTCAATTTCGTATGATATTGTGCAATACCTCTGGTGTGAAATAGTTGCTTCAAGTACTGTGGCACGCTACGGCGCGGCGGGCGGGCAGCCAGAGCGAAACGCGCATTGGCGCCTACACACCTAACAGGGATACTTCACGCATTGCGCTATGCTTGAAGTATCCCTGTTAGGTTTGTAGGCGCCAGTGCGTCGCCGCTCCGCTTTGTGCTAGGCTCTAATATTTAATCTCGCGGAGTCAGCGTTTTTCAACTCATGATTTTGAAATGTTTGCACACCCTGTATGGATTACCTATTCTCATTTTAATTGATGAAAAAAAATATGTATTAAAGGAAAATATAATGTGTGTTTTGTAAATATTAAGGTGGTTCCGTATCAAACTTATTGATTTCCAAAGCACACGAATTTCTACACAATTTCTTATAGCCTTTCATAGCCGATGGCGATAAACTGTATATCCCGTTGATAGGAACTATAGCGCGGCTGTATAATTTTTTATCGCTTCGTATAGCCCGGCTGTGTGATTTTCTCCGCTTTCTACAGCCAGCTATATGATTTTCTATCACCTTCTCTAGCCGACTATAAGAATTCCTACGGTATTTTGAAACGCAGCTCCTATCGCCAATTTTTACCAGGGTATCCCAAAGGAAGAATAGAGAATTTGCAGGTGTCTGAAATTTGATGAATTTCATGTTTAGGTGGAAACTCCTGAGTAAACTAAACACGAGGATACATACCCTCGGTTCATGAATTGAAAAAATATTGGTGAGGATATGATGAAATGATCTAATCTGCTAAAATGCATGTGTTTGAATGGAAAATGCCGCCAGATGACGTCACTAAGCGGCGCATTTTCTCATTTTCAAATCTATTTTTATACTTTTTCCCATATTAGAAAATAACTTATACAAAATACTGTGAGATCAGCTCTTTAAGCATTTTCAGAGGAGCAATGAAAAATCTGCGTGCAAAGTTTTCATTAGGTGTCCTAACTCCAACAAATACAACAGATGTTCTAATTTTTTCCCCTCTTTCCCACTATTTCCTAAGCTACATGAGAAACATGCAGAGACTATCTACCCTCTCGCACGATTTTACATCTGAAGCTGTGGATAAAGCCGTTTTCTGGGTGGAGCACGTGGCCCGTCATGGAGGAGCGTCGCATCTGAGGCCCTCGATCGCTGACTCGAGCCTATTCCAGTATTTCTGCCTCGACATCATCTCTTTCCTTTTAGTCTTAGGTTTATCTGTGATGTTCCTAGTTTACTCCGCTTTTAAGTTTCTCATTTCATATTCAACATTCAAAAAAGGGAAGGTTAAACATTCTTGATTTAAGGGTAAAACGTTGGTTTAAGAGTTTTAATTAACTGAAAAAAATTAAAATACACATGTTAGGATGTCCCATATTTTTCAAAATTGAGAAATTTTCATGGGCAGTTTTTTCAGAACGCGATTCAACCCCAAAAAAATAAAAAAATCGTTTTGAAAAAAAATTTTTTAGGGGTCTCTCAAGCGCCCCAAAGGGCAAAAGTGTAAAAATGGGTAAATGGGGTAGAGTACATTCATTTCCCAATGGAAATCCTCGAATTGCGGCCTTTAAGAACGAAAATTTCGACCGCTTGGCCGTATCTTTGATGGTTGAGCCGCTACAGGTATACGTGCGCGCTGCGATGTACTCGCAGGATGTGACATAAAGCGACATCAAAAAGCGCCTTCAAATCGAAGGATAGACCAAAACACCGTACCGTCGGATTTCTTGCCAATGAGATGATGGAAGGCGCGAGATTCCCCTAGAAAGAATCGGCGATTCTTTGATTGAGGGGCAAACTGAAATGGACAATCTTAATAGGATAAAATTTGCGGTCGTAAAATGCGATTCATATTCAACGATAATTTAGGAGCCATTTCCTAAAAAATGCCATTAGTCATTAATTAACATATTAGGTAGCGTGAGCACAAATTTTTGTAAGAACTCTGTAATTTCAACAATAAAGGAAACTTTGAAATAGGAAAAAAATTACTTACAAAGATGTGCAAGTATACTTGGTTGCTTGGTTATGTGCAGAGTCAAAGAGATCTATGTGCAGGGCAACATTTTTTCCGCAAAATCTATGCACTGCGACTATTAGGAGCAATAAGCTTCTATTCTCTGAACAAAATTCAGTCTATCTAACTAACCCTCCTAAGGAGCGATCGGTGATTTTGTTGCCAAAAAAAAAAAAAAAAAATTAGAGTATTTAATTGAAAGAATTTTATTTTCAGAAATCACGTTTTTCTATGCTAAAAAAAATCTTTTGGTTGACAAAATTGAAATGAGACACAATCATTATACCTAAACAAATAAATCTTAAACAGTAAAATGGACAATAAACTCAAAAAATAATTTAAAAAAACAATAATTCATATATTTGTACGGCAGACACGTGATGTACCGATTTTCTTGTGTGGGTAGTCAAATTTAAAAAATCTATCGGCTCACACATGATATATACTATTATTGAGTCATTGAAGAAGCTACAACTTAAGAGCAGGAAATTAGTTAAATGATTTAAAAGTGCATTTTTGCAAGTACTGTCGGTGATTCAAATTTTAGGTAAAACTGTCTGATAATGTTAGACTTTGCGTCAAAAGAGAAAAGTTTCCTTACCTCTCAACAAATGCCTGGGATACTTTTGGACCGACAGCTTATGGTTGAAAATTGAACTACAGTTATACGTTTAGGTTAAGTTGTAACAGTAAAAGGTATACAGTAAAGTCTTTTTTCAAATATCAAACAGGTAATATCTGCTGTTGTTAAAAACTAATCACTGAAAGAAGTAAAAGGTGCAGTGAAGGTTTTTCCGCTAAAATTATTTCATGAGGAGTGATGACCGACGCAGCTGATCAGATTTTGAGTGATAATTTCTCATTATGTGCTAATTGAATTTCAGTAATTTTTTCTGACTTACAAATTCTATAATAAAACATTGATTCACCTTTTGACTTTCTTTTCCTCCATATTTTACCAACAGTCAATGATTCCCACGAGGAAATGAGCCAAAATGTGTACTTGCAAAATTTTATGAAATTGAGAAAAAAAGGCTGAGCAATCTGACCCTAATTCAATAATTTTCCGTAAAAATTTTAAGAATATTGTGATGTCAAGTCCTATTTGAAAAACATTCAATTCTGAGTATTTTATAGTAAAAAAAAAAAAAAGGAAAACAATTGTAAAATTATTTTAAAATATTTAAATGCAACAAATCAATTGTCGAAAGCAGAAATCCATGCTGAAAATTAGTCTAGTAACACTGTACAGGTCTGCCCAGTTTTTTTATGCAACCTCTCACAGTCAACAAGACTGTTCTAAATTAAATTTTCTTTCAGACTTTCAAGATAAAAAAATAAAATTTGCCTCAGGAATTTTTAAAGTTCACACTGAATAAAAAACGCCAAATCTGAGGTCAATTATTATGGACTCCATCAAGTTGTCGGTACCTGAAAAGTACCGGGAGGATACCTATCAGGTGTTAGGAGTTTACAAGGGAAGCAAAATGTAGTAGTGCTCTTACTCTTGTGACCCTTTTTGCAGAAATGCAGCTTATTGTTCCTGCCACAGGAGATGAGACGCAATCTTTGAATTTTAACAACTCAGCAATCTTGGCCAAAAACAAATATGACCGTCTGCTGTTGATAAAAATAAACAAACAGTCACCTCCCTAAAAGCAATTGAATTTCCATTCTTAATGGATTAACGTGCACTGAATAGGTTCATTTTCACTAATGGTTATATTCGTTTTTAGCCAAGCAACAATGTTGTTGAAATTTAAATCTAATGCCATGGCTTACACAACAGAAACAAAAAGCTACATTTTGGACAAAAGGGTAAGCAAGAGCATACCTACATTCCACTTACCTTGAGGAGCTAAGGAACTAGCGTTACCGATCGACTCGTTTACGCAATTTTCTAGTGACAATGTTATTGCTTGGGGCGGGGGAAGATGCCATTTCTTTCCTTTTTCGCTGACGACTTGAAGAGGATACAAATAGTTCTACACTGCTTGCTGAGTCATCTTCTTCTGAACCTCCTGGTGTCCTTAGCAAAAGTTCATTATTTGAAGTCTTTAGATTTGGCTCAGAATCTAGAAAAAACAACAACAAAGCAAAATAAGACTCCAAAAATGTATTCACGGATACTTTTAATTGGGAAGCTTTATGTAAAAATGGCACTCTTTTGAAGTGATTGAGTTGAGAAATGAGTTTTTCCAGCACCTGAAACCTCAATTCTGTGCCAAGTCTTTAGGCAACATTTAAACTGAATTAGCTGGTGCAGTGATATTTGACAGCCACAGCTTTGTTTTGAAGTTAAGGCATTTCTATTTTTGCATTGAGGTGGAGCCTTAGAAAACGTCCTGAGTTTTCTGTGGATAAAATTCAATTGACTTTCAAGCAAACGAACTGATTATGTTGGTATCTTAGATTAAGATCACTTTGGAACTTGGAAAGCACAAGACAGGGTTAGAGCTAACCCACTTGACAGCACATTTCTAGATAAAATTTTGCATAATGCTAACAAAGGAACATTTCCAAAATGAATGACTTTCGTCATTAGTTTTATTATGGTCAAAAATTATCAAAGCAAGATTCTGTGACTAAAGCAAATGACCCAATGTGATTCCTTAAGAAAAGAGGAGTTTGATTTTTTTCATCATTTTCAATTTCTCAAGTTTCCAGTTTTACTTTTATTTTTTTCATTTTCTCTACATGTAACCCTCCACCAAAAAAAAGGAAATTATTCCACAGGAGCTCCAAATTGAGCCATGACAAAGCAAAGCAAAGCTATGGTGATTTCTACCGTCTAAAGTAAAAACGCCATATCTCCATTCGACATTTTTTCGATTTTTTTCTAGCAAAATACTATTTCACAAGAAAACCAACAAATGTTCATTCCTCATTTTTTCGAGTCGATTTTGGCATACCATTAGGAACTCAAAATTTTAAAAAATGAAGCATTGCCACACTTCACAATCATTACCACACTTGGATTTTCTTGTATTAGAGCGGTATGTGTGGAAAAAAAATACAAAATTTGCAATTTAGTTACCGCTTTTTTGCTGTGGACGGCAGATTTGAAGTTTGTAGTTGAAAAAACATAGTTTGAAGAAAAAGACATTTAAAATTTTGAGGAGTCATGCATAAGAGAAAAGTTGACACCTTTCTGATGTAAAAACCCTCAACTTACCGATCGGAAAGTCAAGCTGGGATTCATCCAGTAGACTAAAACTTTGATTACTTTGATTGAGAGTATTGTCAGGCTCATCTTCTGGTTCATCCACTTCATCATTGCTTATAAAATTTTGATTCAAGGTGCTAAGACTGGACCCTGGAAGTTTATGATCTGGCAGCCGCTTTAAGGCAACAATTGGTGAACTCGGAGAGGAAGCTTTTTCTCCGTTGAATAATTGATTGGGTAACCTGAAAAAAAAAAAAAAATCAAGGAGAGGATGAGATTGGAACATTGAATTTTAAAAAATAAGAATCTGGTCTTCGTCATTCGGGCAAAGTGAAAGTAAGAAAAATTTCAAAATTTCAATGGAAACAATGTTGTACATTAACTTGCACTAAATTTTCTTCTAAGCATGGCTTTTACCTATTCTTTTATTTGTTTATTTATTTATTTATTTATTTATTTATTTGTTGGTTTGTAAAAATAAATTATTCAAAAATAATACAATCGTTTACAGATAACATTATTTCTAAATCAAGGCTTCTTATATTGAGAAACTAACTATTTTCTGGGGGGAAAAACTATTATTTACAAACTACGCCTGATATTTCATTGATAAATGCTGTAATATTTAGACGCTCATTTACTGAAACAATCGATGTAGTAATGGATAAGACTTATCTGATTTGGTTATCAGCATGTTGCGCTACCAGTCGCGCTCATAAGCGACTCACTACAAACATGACAAGCTCACTAAATTGGGCTGGTAACGATCTTATCATGCTTTGGTGAGAATATATCCTTTTTCTATATTCTTCTTTATATTTTCTTATTTGTTCTTTCACAATATCTGAGATCTTATCGATTTTTTTATTTCTTTGATCATCCCCATTTGATTTATAATCTCTGACTGAAGAGGGATTTTTTCAACTATTTTGTTATTTTCAAATTTTTTCATGCAATTTAGTTTCTGTGTTTTTCTTTTCTTAAATTCCTCACATCCTCTCCAATTAGAGAAATGCACCCCATTGGATCGAGCAAATGGGGTGCCATTTTCCCCAGAAATTCACTTATGCATAGCTGAAGACTTCATTAAAAAGGGTTCAATTATTACCTGCTGGAGGAACTTCTTTTAGGAGTATGATTAGATTCCACTCTAGTACGGTTCATATCCTGAGGCTCATTGACGGTTTTGTTCATGTCTCTTGGTTCAGCATCAACCTCAACACAATCATCGCCCGACTCAAACATATCCACATCTACATCATCAAAAATTCGGTTAACATGACCTGTTGGCCTAATATTTGTTCCCTCACGGTCCTTCATCTTCTGTATCAGTGCTTTGAATGTACTCTCGTTTTCTTTGATATATTTTTCATTAACTTCGTTAATCACCTTTGGATCAGTGCTGCGAGTGATGGTGTTGAACAGAGCTGTTGGTTTTTCAATTTGCGCGTTGGCTCTCTGCTCTAGTTTTTCTTCCTTTTCAACATCATGGAGGATTTCGATTAGAGATTTGGGAACAGCTTTGTCGCATTCTGAATTATAGGCTACTGTGTAGCGCTTCAAACGCGAGATTAAAGTTTTTCGATCGCCTAAAACATTCAGTCCATATTCCTTTGCTTTTTTCTTAAGGTCCTTATCAGATAAAAGAGTGTAGACTAGTTTTGGTAACCTTTTCATTTTATTCTCGATTTTTGGAGGGGCTGGCTGCTGTCCACTGGCTCTCAGCAGACACTTGTCTAAATGTAAGTTTATGTTTGCTTCCGGAATATCAACACTACAAACTGGACATGGCACGGTGGCTTGGGTTTCATGAGAGCTGGATGGGCCATAAGATTTAGGACTAGTCGTAAACATGTCAGGGACCCGAATTTTTGAAACTGATGGTGATGCTAGGCAAACAGGAGTGGACGGTACATTTGAGACTTGACGAGGACTTTCTCTGACATCTGGCTCAATAATTTCTATTTCATCTAAGTTTTTGTTTACAGTTCGTTTTGGAGTCTTGATCGATTTTTCAGGCTCTACGCGTTTTTTTGGCCTGGTCGAATGGGCATCCTTAGACTGACTTACGTCTGCTTTAACTAAGATTTTTGTAGGCTCTTCTCTTCTTGAACTTGTGCTTGGAGAGCTAACGGCGTTGTCTTTGCTGGTGCTGGATGTTGAAGGAATGACAACTGCGGATATGCGAAGGTGATGGCACAGTTTATCTTTGACCTTGGTATATACTTGAACAACTGCATCAAGAGTCCTGTTGTTTCGAAGTTGATTGTCAAACAACTGAGAGAAACACGTCGGACATTGGTTTTGATATTGCAAGTAGCGTCGGATACAAATTGAGCAAACTGAAAATACAGAAGAGTAAAAATGCAAATGAGAATTGATAAAAGACAAAGTTTTAATTGACCTTAAATTTTTAATTTTTAAGCAAAAGGAAGTGATTCGCTGACTTCGGCCAGTGGCGTATTGGTAGTACTTATACCAGAGGTGATCCCTCTTCTGCGGTCAAAAAAAAAAAAGAATAAAAAATGTGTTTTTTTCTTTTTAAACGTAAACCTTTAGTTAAGTGATTTCATCTTTTTGATCATCAAGTTAAACTCGCTCCGAGTTGCACTAACAAATGATATAAGCGGATGGCTGCTCTGAAGATCAAGGCTGCTGAAACAACCAGCCAGTGATTACACAGATGATAATATTGGTGGTACGAATATTACTGGGAGAGGTAAATAAAATCTCCACACTAATTCTTAAGTAGCTTTACAGGAGGGATATTGCCGACAAAGTTTGGTCAAGCTCTGGATTATTTTTTAATTCCACATTAAGCTCTGGAACATTAGCAGTAAAGACATGGAGGCTGACTTATTTGCCTTTACGAGAAATGAGCTCACTCCACAAGCATCATGTCATTTTAAAAGTAAAAATGACAAAAATTAGCTTCTGAGAGGAGAAAATTATTTTCCTTCAAATAATGAATTACTTAACAAATTGTTAAACTGTTCTTAATCATTTGTCTTTTTTGATTTAGATTTTTCTAACAGTTTTTAGAGAATTTGTAAGTGAATAAGAATGGTTACGGTAAGTGTAGATTTTCTATTCTTTCATACAGTCTTCGCTTAGTGCATTAAGATAATACGCAGAGGAGAGTTATAATTTAGACTGTTTATGTGACATTCTATGAATAACAGAAGATTCATGAATGCTGTCTCTTTTGTGAGAAACTTGGAATAAGACTTTTTCTAAAAATGTAATTTCAAATTATTCTGGTAAAATAGGTAACTTCACTTACAACTGTGTGAGCAAGCGGAGATTAAAGTTGTCTGCATGTATTCGTAGCATATTGAACATTTTAGTAAGTCATCCAACTCCTATGAGAAAAGGAAAACAGATCATTCTAATTACTGAATAAAGAAATGGATTACCTTGAATTTTTCTCATCTGATGTGAAAGCATTACTAAGTAATACAAATACATGATGAATTCAATTATGTAATAATTTTTTTTGGATATCAACAGTGCCATGTTCAGAAAAAGCACAGAGCATGGAATATGGCGGTCCATTTTTTCCTGGTATAAAACTTTTTCAAACAGTGCAAAATTTGCATCTGTCATATCAATGGCTAAAGTGTAAGACAAAGTATTTCTGTTTGCGATGTTGTATACATCTTGTCACACTTTATTATTCCTTTGGAAAATTAGGCGACGTAGTTTTTTTGAAAACTTCCCCTATTTTTCTTTTCTGCTGGCAGAATATTCTGTAAAATTTCCTAACCTTAAAGTTGGCACTTGTCTTATGGCACAGTGTCTGTTCTAAAAATAAAATCGTAGTGGAAATTTTGAAACAACGCAACAGAAATATGTGGTTTTGCGCTTTACCTAACAATAACTGTGATCTGTTTCTATTTATTTTTCCAATTGTTACTGATGTAAATTTGACTGAAAACCATAGATGAAATTACACTCCCTGACTCTTTGAAAATGAAACTGCAAAATCTTGTCTGTGGCATTTCAAAATTACAGCGCCCATTTTGTTTCATTGAAAGAGGGTGAACCAACACTGTTGCTTGAAATTTTTATAAAATTCCTCCTCCAAAGAGAAGAAAGATTGAGGAAGTATCCAATAAATGACGTTGAGTATTTGCTATTCAAAAAATAAATTACAATACTTAGGAAGTCTGCAGTGTAGCAAACTGAGACATGTGTTTTAGCAGTTTCACTAAAAACTTCTTTTTTAATGGTAGATACAAAAAGCAAATAACAGACATTTTGGGAGAAAATTTTTTCAAAACTTCCAGAGGGACTTCCTTGACATTTTATTTTTCAAAAAACTTCAAAGAAGCAATTTTCAAAATACCATAACTTGTTCAATTTTGGGTCTTTTTCCAAAAACTGGAACTTTCTTTCATTTTAATCGTGCGATCTTTTTCTATGAGAATTAATTAGAATATTCTGACCCTCGTTTCTTTTGAAAAATATTTATAATACAATCAAAAAGACTAAAAAAAGTAAAAAAAAAAAAAAAAAAAAAAAAAAAACCTTGCCTTCAATTCTGGAAACTCTTTGGGCCATGATGTGCTGGGAATTGGTGCGACCTCCACTTCTGTCATCTTTTACTAAAATAAGAAAGAAAAATAAATTAAAAATTTACTGAAAAGCAGATGAAACTGAAAAATAGAAGTTGATGGTAAAACCATTTAACTATCAACAGGCCTCAGAAGGAGAAAAATATGCCAAAATCAGACACTTGCAGTAAATCACCATAGCAAGGTCAAGGCATAAGCCCAGCCACAAAAATGCTTAAGGTAGAAATCTGAAATCTCTTCCTTAGCCTTGAGTGCAACGACTCTCCAAGATAATCAGGAATCAACATTTTCGAAGGACGTACATACATGAGTTGCTTTTATAGCGCTCTCTGGCTCTTTGCAATGCCTAATCGCCACAAAACTCGGTCTTCCCACAATCCATCAGGGAGTTGACACTCCCTCATCTCATTGAACATCCCCTGTCGCCCCTCTCACTGGGCGTCTCCTTTGTCTCCTCCTCGAAGGACACCTTGTGAAATTAGAGAAGTTATTCCCTAATGTCGTATGCTATTGACGCTACTAGCGATTCCTATAGTATCATAGTACTGCTGCGCTACATTCTACGTTCCTCTTGGAGGAATTATAGGGTGGGGTAATGACACTAATAGGATTATACCAGAAACAATAGTCTCGTCAGAATTTCAAACTGGTGCATTCAGAAGAACACATTGATTTTTCACAAAGATTCAAGATAGGGTGTCAAACACATTCATATCATTTCCCAACACTTGCTTGGTCACTAGAAATGATGCAATTTGATGAGCACTATCCTCCCTAGATTAAATGGGCAATGATGAGCGTATTATACAGTAATGATAAAATGTCTTATCACATCCAAGCAGAGGAACTAAGAGATGAACGTTAGAGAGGGCCTCTTCAGTTGGTTGTATGGAGAGAAAGAGAAATTACTTAGATTAGCTATCTGAAATAATCGTATCATAGAACTGCTAGGTAGTATATACGGTAAATGGAATCGACTCATGCAAAAACGTCCATTGCCCACTGCTGGATTTCACAATTGCAGTGGTTCCTTTGGCCTGTGATACTGATGAGTAAGATCGGTCTCTTTTGTAAACGTTCAATTATACTGAAGAGATTATTTGCAAAATTGTTCTACATTCCTAACGTCTTGAACCATCTTGTATCTTTAAGTTACAATGAAATCGTCCACTCAAATTCTGAAACACTGTATTGGACATCAGACGTTTTCGCATGAGCCGATTCAATTGATAAGAGGTACGCACAGACTGTGGCAGGAGGTAATCATGTCACCATCATTGATAAAGAGACAAAACCCTCACAACGATTCAGCACATGAGAGATATTTTTATAGCTGTAAATAATTAATGACGTGATCAATAGGTTCTTACCAATTTCAGTTATCGAGATGGAAGCAGTTTATCAGTTCGATGCTACGCTTGAGCATCATTTGAGTTTCGCAGAGAATTAAACATGCAGTCGATGATAAACAAGATCTTAAAACTATGGTAAGAAGATTAATAAAAATAATCACACGGATGATGATGATGATGATGATAGTCACTAACTAGTGTGCATTCCCTCTTCAGCGGGAGATAATATGGAGATAATTCAGCTTAGAATTTTTCATAAAACTCTAACTGAAGGATAGTTAGGTTAGGGTTGTTAGCATTCTTTGTTTACATTCCACGCCAAGATACCAACCGTACAAGAAGCACTGTGTCTTATTGTTAACTTTTTATTTTAGCATATCTTTCTTTCAGGTCATTTATTTTCAAGTAATTGCTTACACTTGAAATTTTGATGTTTTAAATGGAGATTTTGGTGTTTTATTTGACTTTTTTTACGATCAAATTAATAGATAAACTCTTAGTGGATTCGGGGTTTGTTAGTCATGCAAATCTGATAGAGGATTCGCGGGCACATGCAGAGCGGCAAATAAATGTTTTCAATTTGAAGCGGGAAAGTTCAAATATGCGGGTGAGGACCATGTCGTCCGACGATTGAAAGTTGAACAAATATTACGTTCCCATTAACCTTTCAGACCTATTACTCATAAGAAAAACCACCCACCATTTGAAATCTTTCTGAGGGTTGATGTATCACGGAGAAAACACTTGAGTGAATCAACTCATAACTCTTGTCCTTTAATTTTCTCTTCATTTTTCATTAGTTTTTCTTCTTCAAAATTTAATGATGAAACTTACACTTTGGTGTCATGTCGATAGGTTCTTTGAAATCGTTGTATCAGATGTGCTGCTAGGAGGTACTGTTTATTGGTTTATTTACATATATTGATGTTTTTAGATTAAAGGATTAGTTGATTTCAGTGTGCGTTTTGTCATAAATAAATATTATATCAACAAGCATTGATGACTAAAATAAGGTAATTTCGCTCTTATAAAAATCTTGCTTGTGAAATTTTGAAACAACACACAGGGATTTAAAGTTTTGTCTCTGCTTCGCGAAACAAGATAAAAAATTTACGAAAGTACCTTGAGGAGCATGCTGTTTAAACTTTCTCGATACTTGGCAGTCAGTTTAGATCAGGAGAGTAATGCATGAATCATTATTTAAAATCAATCTCACGGTGAGTAGGAGTACATCAATATAAGACAGCAGAAAATAAATTTCCTTTGAAAGTTCCATTTTCGTCTCTTTTTGTCTATATTTTTTTAAAAAAAAAGAAAAGTAAACCAAACCTGAACTAAACATTAAACAAATTTTTGAGAATTTGCATGCATTAAACTAACAATGGGCATGCTCTGAGACGGTGAGTATTGCGAATAAAGAATAAATGGGTATGAACGGCGGTACAACGTAAAAATTTGCTTTCAGAATTTTTTTATCTAGGTATAAAAATTTCTTCACCCTAATTTTTTTATTCCTTCCAATTGTCATCTTTCTTGAAAAATGTATCAAAAAGGGAAGGATAAAAGAAATGATAAAAAATTTAAAGAGGTTAAATGAAAACATCCACATGTTAACGTAAATTTTTATGTAATTCTTTTCATATCCAGCGAAAACTAATTACATTTATATATTATATACATAAAAATTTCAACAAATTGACGGTAGACAAACTCAATATTTTGACTGTCTACTTTTTCAAATTAAAATAAAGGCTGAAAATAAAAAAAAATCGACTGAGAACTTGATAAACTGGTCGAAATAATTTATTTTCACGCATGCAAGGAGGTGGAAATATTAAGAAAACACTGATCAAGCGTTTTCGTGAAAAAAAGTTTAACAATGTGAGCATCCTAAAAAAATGATCGAAAGGAAATAGTATGATAAAGTTAAAATTTGAACACAAAAGAAGGGAATAATCACGCTATTGCACAAGTCATGATGAGAACACTATAATATTCAATCCTTCATGTAAGGGCGAGAATCAATTCAAGTTTAAACTATATTAGGGAAGAGACAGTGACCGGAATGATAAAGAAATTGTATTGCATTTTATGAACAGATTGGAGAATTGTATGTCAGAATAATTTCATCGACTGAAAAAATGATTTTGTTCAATTTTACCAAAAACCTACATGGAACTTTGTCTTTCTTATAAAGAACATCATGCGTGAACTTATATTAAGATTTTTATGATGATCACTTACGATGAGAATTTTAAGCAGCACTGGTAAAAGAATGAGCACAAAATATGCTTACATAGAAAAATACAGCACTGTGATATCAAGTGTCCTTAATCAAATTATTACAGTCAAATATAGATATGGATGGTTTGAGTTGAAAAAAAGCATAATTCCATTGTAACATTAAAGCGTTTCCCATTATGTTTTATTCTTTTGACAAAAAACCGACCAAAAATCTCTTTGATATTTCCTGTGAACATTGTTAAATAAGTGAGAGAGTATCACGGAAAATTAAAGGAAAACTTTTGGTGTTTCTTTTAAGAAAATAAAACGTGATTTGCAATCTTGCAATGAGAAATAAGCTTTTTTCAACTTTAATTATTGATACAAGAATGATGCAATGAGAAAAAGAGGTCTATGATCAATGACCGATTTTAATGACACTCGATTAATCCTCGGCGTTTTAGGAGGACACTAAAATTCTAGGAATTTATGGGCCAAAAAATGGACCCAAGTCAACTTTTTTTATACATTTTTTGATCTTTTTTCTTAATGGCTACGTGAGTAAGTAAATAAGTAGGCATTTAGTAGGCAAAAATTGACTCAAAATCAACAGGAGCCCTCTTATGCATAAAACAAAACAAAACAGGACACAAGTAAAACTTTAGAACATGTTATAATAGATGTGACAATGAAGAGAAACGAAAAGAAAAAGACTAAAAGGTAACTTGCACCTCGCGTTATATCAGGTATCTTCTTTTTGTTTAACTAAAATTAATGTATTTATATATTTTACAAATTGAATCTTAACAGAAACAATATGAGATTTAAAAAATATTATTTTTTAAATACATATTCTTTCTTCATGCCATCAAACTGTTCTCATACTTAGTTTAAAACTCCAATGAGTATTTTAGGTACACTAATCTCTGAAAGCCTGATAGAGCGGAATAGATTCGGAACATTTTCGGAACGAACTAAGAAATTATTCAATTTTTTACACGCATAATATTGTACAGTATATGTGTGTATTTCCTTAGAGAGCAAAGTTGAGTAATGCAGGATTTAATTTTAGCAGTTTTGATATCTAAACGTAAGTATAATTAGTAATAAATAACATTCAATATACTGAAAAACTTATACCTAAGGACATTTCAGAAGGATTCTTTGTGTCTTGGATGGCTTTCAAACATTGATTTTAGGATAAAAGCATATAGTTATTATAGAAAAAAAAAGTTAAATCAGGCACTAGGTCGAATGTCGAAGCAGGTATCCAAGCCATCATTATCTCCAAATATGCAATTTTCGGCATCACCTTAGTAGAATGAAGCTTTGTAGATTTAGTCAGGATGCCTCTATGAAGATATGTATTATAGTAGAATCGCTTTAATTACCTCAGATGCCTAAATAAACGCTTCACTCTAAATTTTTCTGTTTTTTATAAAAATGAGGAATCTTCACATTTGCAACAAGAGATTGACAGCAGAAATATTGAGTTGTAAAATGTGTAAAAAATTAGAACGAATTTTGATCGATTTCCCCCTTAAATATTATAAAGTTAAGGCATTTCTGTAAAAAAAAAAAAAAAAAAAAAAAAAAAAAAAAAAAAAAAAAAAAAAAAAAACTTGCCAAACGCAAAAATGTAGTTATCTGCCCAGGCATTTGACGATCGAGTTCACCTTTTGCTCACCAGAAATACACACAATAATACCATTTACAATTGTATTATTTCATTTTAAAATACTTTAAAGCCTCTCCGTGGAAATTAGATTTTGATAATCAAGCTATAACTATTTGAACTTCGGAAGCAGTCAAGTCAAAACTACTATCTAAACTAATGGTTTGATTCTTGGCGGAGAACGTAAAGCACGACTGCTCCTCGCACTCTTCTCAGTAATTCAATGACTTCTGATGTGGGTAGGTTTGTCACTTCCTCTTCGTTTACCTGAAACAGTACAAAATAGAGGAGCCGGTGATTTTTTAATCTTTTGTTTTTGGGAGGAAGAGGATACAATTTCAGTACCTATTGCAGATTGTTTGAGCAAACTTTAAAAAAAGAAGATTTAGGTACTTACTCTTTCATTGAAACTGAACAGATAGACAAGGTTTCATAAAAATTAAAATAAAAATGGAATGCTTGTCTGTACTGATTAAAATGGGGAGGAGCAAAATATAAGTAAAGCATTTTTAAAGTTGAGTGAATGGCTTTTAAGTCCATCGACTCAACCTTGCCTTGACTTCAGACAAAACTTTGGAAAAAATGTATCTACTGTCCCCTTAGTAGGTAACGATTACTGAGGTATGATATTTCGGAAATATTTCTAGTTTTGCTTCCTTTAATAGATGCATGTACTATGCATAAGGAACAAAGGCTGCGGTACATTGCACCATGTTACCCCATTTTGTTTCTTGTACGAACTGTGAAACAAAATGTTTTGACATTTTAAGGAAATTCCTCTCACACGTCACTTTTTATGTTCTTTAAAATGATGCAAGATGCAAATTCAAGAAGGATTTCAAGCAACAATTTTGCCAGTCCTTTTAATTTAAAATTCAAACGGAAGTTATATCGATGGCAAAAGTACGAGACCTCATACATCCATTTGCAACGTTACAGATTGCCTTACATTCTTTAAGGTGATTCGTCAAGCTCAAAAGAAGTGGTCAAACTGGCATGCGATATATCGCATCTTTTAGGTCAAAAATCTCGGCAGGTTTTGAATTTTCAGCAAAAAAAAGGACGATAGCCTCTGCGCATGAGCGTAAAGAATCATTCTAAATCCAAAAATCTGAAAAATTTTAGAGAAATGAAAGCAGAATAGTGTTTGGAAAAAAACCTCGCATTCAATACAGCTATTGATTTCTGTATCGAATGCGAGGTTTTTTCCAAACACTATTCTGCTTTCATTTCTCTGAATTTTCACGATTTTTGGGTTTAGAATGATTCTTTAAGCTCATGCGCAGGGGCTACCGTCCTTTTTTTTGCTGAAAATTCAAAATCTGCCAAGATTTTTGACCTAAAAGATGCGATATATCGCATGCCAGTTCAACCACGTCACTTGAGCTTGACGAATCACCTTAAATACTTTCGTTGGCTACTTATTTTTTCTGCTGAAAACTATTCGACGTAATTCCTGGAAAACTTTCTTGATTTCTCTTCTCTGTTAGCAGATTCTATATCAATTTCAAGCCTTGAAGCTGGATTGTTCTTCTTCAACACAATAAAATAGGAGCGGAAATTTTTAAACACCGCGATAGAGATACGTGGGTTCTCATTTTGGCCATCGATATGAAAATGCGCATTGCAATTTTTTTTCCTTTGATCAAATAGGTGCCAGTAATTATCCCACGGAATTTGGTACAGGGAGGATACAATTACTTTGAAGGAAATATTCGTATGGACTCACCTTGACGAGAATATCACCATTCTGAAGTTGGCCGTTCTTGGCAGCAACGCTGTTGGGGTGTATTGTGCTGACAATTGCCCCTTCTCCGTCCTTTGCTGACGTTAAGCTGAAGCCAAGCCTGCTGTTCCAACTTCTCACCAATTCAACTTTGATCAACTGCACCGAAAATAATCTATTATTAGTTCAAAGGGTGCAAAGAAATACTTTTTGTCTAGGGAGTATGATCCTCAAGTTCGGGTGGATCTAAGATCAATACAGCGGAGATATTGATCAATCAATGCGATTTTTTTGCCATGAAATAAGGCCAAAAGGCCGAAACAAGATTCTTAACAGAACGGGAAACCTGATTTGAGATCTATAAACATCGACCTCCAGTTTTTGATCCTTAACTCATTCTGATACTCTATGGGGCATATGTACAAACTAATCCATCACATGATGTACAAATATAGCTATTCTATTGCAAAAAAAATTGCATTAACTTGCAGCTTAATTTCAATATTTTTGTTGTAAACCGCTACTCGAGTATTCACCCAACGCTTGATGTACATTTGCGGATCGGATTAAGCAGAAAGGAATCATGCCACATCAGCTATTGCCATAAAATCGGGCAAGTTAATTTTTTACATGAAAACGGTTGTGCGGATTTCTGTGGAAATTTCAGTGAATTTTACAGTGCGAAGCAAACTCCTTAAAATTTTCAAATGAATCCGCACAAACGTTCTCTTGCAAAAAATTAAAATGCTCAATGAAATTTGGCTATAGCTGATGTGGCTTGGTTTCTTTCTGCTAAACGCGGTCCATTTTATGCTCAAATAGCCACGCCAATTGGCGACACCCTGTCAAACGCTTCAAATGTATGAAATTGACAATAGTTGTAGAGCATTTTTTTCAAAATAGTGTGACAAATTTCGGTTCATCCGTAAAAAAACTCATCTGCATAGAGAAACTAATGGTACATACGTCGTCCCTAACCTGAGCCAAAAATTGTAATTCTTGATTGCAAAATGAGCCCAAATAAACTTACCTGTTTATCATCAAATGATGGTGGTGGTGAGACAGATGGAGTGTGGAAGGCATCATCTTGATCCTCAGGCGTGAACATAACTCCTTTCCATTTCAAGAGACCTCCTTTACTTTCCTCGGCAAAACTCGTGGAGGATAAATCGTGTTCTGAACTCCTTTCCGACACCTAATAAGTTCAAAATACAATGAGTAATAATTATTCAAATAGTGTCAGAGTGGCAGAATTTCATGAAACATAAAATCTTGAAATTTAGCATAGAGTGGAGCATTTCGAGCTTACGCCTCTTGCCATCGCGCCTTCAATTCTGCAGATGCGACTCGGACATCCATCGAGTACGAATAGTTGTATCTCTGCGCCGTCGTCAACGCGCGAGTCATTTCCTTTCTTCTATTTCCATATAATGTTTGTTTTCGTTTGTCTTATTTGTAGTTGTGAGTCAAGGGATACGTGAGCACATAGCTATAGATAAGGGAGATGCAATCGAATTTCATTTTTTAACTTTTCTCACATATTAGCGAATTTGCATGGGCAGCATGCAGCGAAGTATTAAAAGTTCTCAACGCGTCATCGCGCCTTCAATTTTGCAGATGCAACACGGTCATCCATCAAGCACGAATAGTTGTATCTCTGCGCCGACATCAACGCGCGTCCGTTCTTCTGCTCTAAGTCAACGCTGTATTGGTATGGTTCCGTTTGTCTTGTTTGTAGTGGTGCTTCGAGGACTACGTAAAGCAGCACAGCCAAAGATGGAAAGACCTCATCCAAACTCGCTTTTCCTAGCAAAGGACCGGCGGTCATGGGTTATCTCCGTCGGTTGTCAAGAGTATTCAAAAACAAGGAAGAAAACGATTCGGGCCATTACTTTATTCATTCTAATGTACGTTTTTTCGTCTTTCTTTTAAAATAATTCTAACAATCCAAATTTACATTTTATTTTTTGTTAGACAGAAAAGATTGATAAACTTTATTATTCTAGTTTAGAAACTCGTTTATGTCTCTAAAGTTTGGGTTGAACAGTTAAAACCTATGACCACCGGTCCATTTCTGGGTAAAAGAAATAGCACCAATAGAAAATTTAAAAAAAACTCCTGCCCCCACAACACTTAAAGAAGTGTAAGTTTTACTAATGGTCGTGTTTCATTCTACACTGAAAAAAAAACACATTGGATCTAGAGTCCAGACTCTTGAAAACATTGACAAGCAAAAATACTCTTGATTCAATCGGATTTTTGCTTGAATCAAAACAAAATCCGCTTAAATTAAGAGGCTTGGTTTTTGATTTAAGCTAGATTCTGATTAAATCAAGACTACTTTTTCTTCTCGATGTTTTTAAGAGTCTGGACTCTAGATCCGATGTGTTTTTTTTTCCAGTGAGTGTCAGTTTAACCAGTGGTCGTGTTTCATTCTAGAGAGTCTATAGATGGTTTCACGATAACTGGAATAGCTTTGTCGCCATAACAGACAACACATTTTTCGGTCAAATTTTCGTAATAATGATAATCACACGATTTTTTTTTTCATTAATCTACACAAGGTTACGTGTTATAACGCTTTTCAAAGATTTATCGCTCTCCTTTTCAATTTTAATATATAAATGGCCGAAAATGTGCTGTCTGTTACGCCGACATTTTACCGCGTAACAGACAACACATTGTCGGAATTTTCATAATATTGATCGAGAAGTAGAGCAATAAATCACTAGAAAGCGTTGTAGTACGTAACCCTTTGAAGATTAATGCGAAAAAATTCGAGTGATTATAACCCGAAAAATATGACCGAAAAATGTGTTGTCTGTTACGACGACAAAACTACTCCAGTTATCGTGAAACCACCCCTATAAACTTTGATCCAAGAATTACTTCCTTAGACTTACCTTGCGAGACTCGAGCCCCTTGGCCGGGAAATGCGTGGACTGGTAGACGGGGGAGTTGTGTCCGAAGTTGGATTCGGAGGGGTCCTGGAGCGGCGGCATGCTGGCGGGGGCGTCGGCGGCGTCGGGGAGGTCCCGCTTGGGGTTGAGGTCCAGGATCGGGGGCATGCTGGCCGCGGCATCCGGGACCTGGCTCAGGTCCAGGGAGCCGGGTCCGGGGGCCCCGAAGACCCCCGTGTGGAGGACGAGGCTGTCGTGCTGGAACGGGTTGTACGGGAGGGAGCACTCCGGCAGGGACCCCGGCCCGTCCAGCGTGTCCATGCTGTCCGACTCCTCATCTGCAACAGCCACCCCAACGGTGAATAGTGAAAGAATAGTGGATGCTCAACTCGGATCAAATGCACCACATGGATTGCATTTTGCAAAAAGGAACCACTAGCATTGCAATGTTGCTAAGATTGTGCAACTTCTTATGTCTTGGAGGAAAAACCCGATTATCCATTGGATCACATTTAGCAAAAAGTAACCAGCGCAATTACAGTGTTGTAAAAATGTTGCCTCTTCATAATTATCAAAAAAATCCCTCGGAATAGCAAATAGTTTTTTCTTCCCACTAAAAAATTGTTAATTTTAAAGGAAAATTATTGTGTGAGCTTTAATACTGTACATATTGAATGGAATTTTTAGAGGAAAGAAGAAGTTGCACAATTTTGAAAACACTGTAATCGCGCGGTTTCCTTTTTGCTAAATGCGATCCCATTAATAGTTTCTATTTTACTCGCTAAAAACTGTGAATTTGAGACAAAAATTACCATCCAAATTTCATAGTTTTTCACGATTTCCGCAATTTTATTGCAAAGGATGAAGTTGCCCAATCTTAGCATCATTGCAATGCTAGTGGTTCCTTTTGGCAAAATGCAATCTAAATATTCCAATTGAATCGTGTCGTGCGAAAACTGCTAATGTCCATTTTTTCAGTCTTGAATTTTTTTGGGTCGATGATACTACTCAGAGTTAAATGCAACCATGAAAATGCGGTGTTAATACTTGGTGTAGGGTTATCCTCATCTCAAAACAAGTATTGGCACCACTTTCATGGTTTTATCAAACCTTGAAAAGCATTATCGACATAAAAAACTGAAAGCTGAAAAATGGACATTGGCGGTTTTCGCACGACACGATTCAATTAGGAACTACAATTTCGGGCTCATCCATAAAAGCATTTGCTTGCGTATAGGGAAACATCTGGCACGTGCGCTGTTCCTGATATAAGCCAGAAATTGTAGTTTCTCACTGCAAAATGCAGTCCGATTGGACTTCATTTTGAAATTCGGAACTATAATTTCTGGCTCCTCCGAAAAAGCACTCACGTGCTGAGGGAAACTGATGGTACGTACGTTGTTTTTAAACTGAGCCAACTGACAATGAGTTCCCTAAAAATGAGACACGAAATGGCCCTTTTTTTTGACAGGCTCTTCCTACAGTTTGGGGCTCTAAAAATTAACCCTTCACTGAAGGGCCTTCAGATTACTCTTCTTGTTGGCTTTTGAGCACTACATTACCGAAGAAACCGATGTTTAGGTATAAACTTTCTGGGTGTACTGTTTCCTGGAAGTGCAACACTTCTTACAAGAATTTGCTTAGCCGCCGATTAGTAGGTTGATGATTGTTAGCGCCCATGAAGAAATGTATAGAATCCTCGAAAGTGTTTTTTTCATCATTGTTGGGATACAAGTAGAGGGCGTCTGTATTTGCATCTGTTAAAAGGCTTGGATCAAATTTACATTTAGGGACAAAAAGGTGCAAGTTTCTCTGGTACTTACAGCTGGAATGGAAGTCACTCTTTTTGATTTGTTCTCTTGAATTTGCTAGGGCCGATTTGCTTCTCTGTCTGGAATTTGATGATTCGTTTCTTTTCTTTTCACTCAGCATTTCCATTGCTTCTTTCCTGAGAACAATTAATGAACAATCTTCGTCATTTTATGAATATTTTTAAAAATGCATCACTCTTATACACTATTAAAGTTTTTTTACGAGCATTCCTCAACTTCTATTTACATTTGTTATACACAAAAATTCAATAATGTTTTTTAATGGTCATAAAGTGAGTAGACTTTTTTTATTGCGTAGATAGCTAAAGTCGAAAAAATCGCGTTCTCATGTAACATTTAAAAACCTCGGATTTTGTTATATTTTTACAAAAAAAAAAAAAAAAAAAAAAAAAAAAAAAAAAAAAAAAAAAAAAAAAAATAATAATATGCTCTATATTTTTTATGAAAAAATGTTACCTGAACAAGGAAACAAAGGGAAAAAGGGGGAAAAGGTAACTTTTTTCCATAAAAAATATAAACATAAACCCTGCTAAAAATGAACAACCTAAAAGATCATTAAATTAATATTTTTGAAAACAAAATCTTCAAAAGAAAACACGAGAAGAAACATGAAATGATGTAATTGGAGGTCCGCATTTTCCGACTTTAGCTATCGATTTGAGTTCCTTTCATCGGATTTCACTTTTTCTCGGTTAGCTTAGGATCTACTGGAAGTTGAATCAGTTTTTGACGAAGGAAAGGAGCAAGAAAGGGGGGAAAATTGAAGAGGACATTTTCGTCAAAAGAAGCCATAAGTAATTATTAGGAAAGGTATATGCTTTACAGGAATCATAAATGCATTACGGGATGCATTCAACATGCATCCTCCTAAATGACATTTTCCTCTTATGACATTTTGGGCGATCCTTTTAGTGCAAGAAAGTAGCAGCAGCGAAAAGAAGAGAGTAAACTCTTTTTCGAGGGCTTTGCTCGCTGAAGTGTAATACCAATCTCGCACAGCATGATATACGCCGCGGAGTTTAATTTCGTTAAAGCGACGGAAAGAATTTGTTTTCTACGAAAAAGCGTTTCCCATTTTTGATCCCCGCATTCCGGCAGCTTTTCTCCGAATTTTGTATTGAAGAATCGTTAAAAACACTCAAAATATTTCGACGGCACAACGGCACGCGTGTTAAGAGATCCATATGCTCATTATTGCCATGTCAGTCGAAAAACGGAGATGTATCATTTGAGAAAAATACGTAAGGACATTTAATCTGAGAACTGGGGTTGCATTCTAGGAAAAACAGGCGTACTTAAATACACTTAGACTGCTTATTTAGGTTGCGGTTGCACTTAATTCCGCTCTGAGGTTTCTGATTGGCAGGCGGTTCAGTTTTAGCTCATCGGCGGATGTTGCATTACCGTGCGAAAAATTTGATCACTACTCTGTCTGGTCGAATTTCCGCGAGTGAAATTTTTTGATATACTCACAGTGGTCTTGAAAAAAAAAAAAAAAAAAAAAAAAAAAAAAAAAAAAAAAAACCGTTTGCAAGGGGTGAGTCTATGGTAAGTGTGGATTCAAAATCGCGAAAAATCAAAATCTTGGCTGATCTCAATTTCAAGATGTCGCAATTTAAAATTTTCATTGTTAATGCAAGTTTTCTACTGATTTTGATCCGCTTTTTTATTTATTCGTCCATTGAATCGGTGTTGATCCGTTCACGCTTTTACTTTTCGTTCGATTTATGTCGATCGAATGTACATACCCTCTCGTTACATGCAAACTACCTATCATATTCTTTTTTTTTAAACTGAACAATTCGCCTTCAGCTGCGTCCGAAGCAATTGTTGTTACGAATATGTTGTGCGTGCTGATTTTAGTCCATTACATACTCGACTCTCTGAAGGCGTCCAATGTGCGATAGCAGAGCATTCTGTTGATGAACAACAGAATTGACATTGAATGAATCGCTACTATGTTAGTTCTCCGACAGATGGCGCTACTTCCACACATAAAACGCCTTCAGAGAGTCGAGTATGTAATGGACTAAAATCAGCACGCACAACGTGTTCGTAACAACAATTGCTTCGGACGCAGCTGAAGGCGAATTGTTCAGTTTAATAAAAAAGAATATTACATGGTAGTTTGCATGTAACGAGAGGGTATGTATATTCGATCGACATAAATCGAACGAAAAATAAAAGCGTGAACGGATCAACACCGATTCAATGGACAAATAAATAAAAAAGCTGATCAAAATCAGTAGAAAACTTGCATTTACCATGAAAATTTCAAATTGCGATATCTTGAAATGGAGATCAGCCAAGATTTTGATTTTTCGCGATTTTGAATTCACACTTACCATAGACTTACCCCTTGCAAACGGTTTTGGGTACATTTTTGTTGCATTCCCCCCCCCCCCCCAGCTTCAAGACCCCTGTGCACCACGAACGTCCATTACGACTAAACAAAATTCTCTCCTGATGACAGCGGAGCGCCTTGGCAGCAATGACGACCACGTCCAAGAATCTTGACGTACCTCCCGAGGTGGGACGGAAATCGCCTTTTTTATTCTCATGAAGTGGATAAATACAGAAACCTCATACAATTTTAAGGAGCACAGGGGGGCTTTCAAAGGGTATAGGAGGCACAAGGAGCTACTGATGTAAAGCTGCTATATCAAGGAGAGAAAACTTCGTGCATGGGACCCGAAGTTAAGGTCATATGGATCTCTGATTTTTTGGGATCACGCATCCGAAAACTTAAGGCCCAGCTGCCGAAGTTCAGGTCAGACATCTGAAATACTTCTGTTTGTACCGGAGTGCTTCATCTGCGTGACCGGAATCTTTCGGTATACTATACCGAAGCACGTCAGATGTCTGGCCCGAACTTCGGCAGCTGGACCTTAAGTTTTCGGATGCATGATCCGAAATATTCAGAGATCCGCATATAACCTCAACTTCGGGTCCAATGCACGAAGTTTTTTTCTCCGTGTAAAAATAAAAGCAAGTACATGAGATCCGATAGTATTTAGGCATGTTGAGCAAAAATGACAACGATGTCTCCAATTTTTATGGAGACGTCTGACTCAATATCTGCGAGTCCAAGATTTGGCCGAGCAAGCACTTCCGTATTTTCGCAGGCTATCCCTGTCTAAGCCCCGAATAGGACAAGGGATCTCGTGAAAAGACGTGCCTCTGCGCGTTTCTTCCATCCACGACTTTATGAGCTTCCGAGAAATGCTCAACAGAAAGCTGTGTTTCCACAGGCACCACGCGATGCGGAATTGGCCGCGCCATCGGGTGCAATAATGAAGCACTTGCGTGCCTTAAGAATTTAGGAATTCAGTATTTTAAAGCGGACCTATTAAACATTTTGTTAGAAACACGATAATGCCATTGGTTCTCTCTGAAACAAACTTCTAAACTCCAAAAAAGCTCTCAAAGTTTAGCCATTAGTCTCAAAGCCATTAGTTTCCGTATGCACATAAGAGTTTTTCCAGAAGAGCCAGAATTTATAGTTCCAAATTGCAAAATGCAGCTCAATTCGACGTCCCCCACTAAAGAACGTAAGTACACTAAAATGTGCCTTTCTATTCGAAAATTGCATTTTCAGATTTAAAGTTGAGGCTGTAATGTAGGGTATCCTTTACGCTACTCTAAGTTCGGCAGTCAAACTCTTCAGGCATAAACGGACTACATTCTGCAATTTGGAACTTTAAATTCTAGCCCGGTTTAAAAACAACGTATGTGCCATTCCATTAGTTTCCCTATGCACATAAGTGTTTTTCCAGGAGAACTAGACTTTATAGTCCCGCATTGCAAAATGCAGTTCAATTCGACGTTTCCCCACGAAAGAAAGTAACTACACTGCAATGTGCCTTTCCACTCAAAAATTGTATTCTTACGAGGAAAAGCTTCGGCAATTTAAACTGAAAATTGTGATAAATTAAATTCTGATCTCATGCAAAAATCAGATACATTTTCAACAAAAACTACAGAGGGTACATTGGTACATTTGTGCACAAAATTGGATTGTTCGGGTCAATTTTGCACCCTTCGAGTGGAATTCTGTTCCTCTGGCCGGGAGACGACGAAAATGGGAGAAAATACTTTGTCAGGTTCGCCATGGTCGTAGTCTCGGAGTTTGCACACAGGGTGGCGATTTTTCTAAAATATACGAATAAGGCATTTTGAAGCAAAGGAGGCAAAGTCCAGTCTACTGATGAGCCCTGAAACGGCAGTTTTCTTACATGATCCGCAGCTCTTCAGGGAAATTGACTTTTCTCCTTTTTCCTCAAGATGCCTCTTATCCGTACATGGAGAACCTGACTGGATGCAGAGTGAACTTCTCTCATAACGCAGGGATCTCCAGGGTAGCTGAAGCCCAACGATATTTTCCGGGATCCGATATTGCATAGTGACTTTTCTATGTGCCAAGGTCACAAATGAAAGAGCTTGAAAGAGGAAAATTTTAAAAAATGCACTGGTAAAAAAATCTGTTGGACCAATGGACCAATGCCGCGGTGCATTGACTTAAGAGTGCTGTTTCTTGTCGCCGGATTTAAGAGTCTTGAACTCTTGTTTCAAGCGGATTTTGCATTGATTCAAGCGGATTTTGCATTGAAACAAGAGTCCAGACTCTTAAATCCGGCGACAAGAAACTGCACTCTTGAACCATGAAGTTTTTTTACCAGTGTGTGTATAGTGGCCTTAATTTTTTTTTTTTTTTTTTTTTTTTTTTTTTTTTTTTTTTAAACATGTCAAAATTTGTAGTTTCTCAGGCATTTTTTGCTGAAACCCCTAAAATGATTGAAAACTTCTGCAAATTTGACACACTACAATCTTTTCGGCCTACTGTGATGCGGGATGCCTCCTCGAGGAAGCACCACTGAAATACGGTCCTGCGTTTTTGTTTGAAGACGCAACACCATGAAACATGCTGAAAACCAGTGGCACCATCACGTACCACGCGTAATTTTACAAAATCTAAAACGAACATTTGAATTGCAAAAGCTTTGTGCCACGCAAAAGCTCTGTTACTACACCCAATCACGGTTCGTTTCAGAGGGAGGTAAATAAAATAGTGTTGCCCACTCAAAATTCCTTCGGGATCTTAAAGTAGGATGCATACACAGTCATTTAAGCCTAAAATGAAAATATTCTGTCGAGCTCTTCGAAAATAAAATCGATTTTTGTGTTTTTGGCGCTAAAATGACCTTCAAAAACGATCAATGATTCAATTCCGATGGGTTGTGCATATGCAAAATGGTACATGTATGATGAAATCTACGTATTTTTGGACCAGAAATCGATTGAGCAGGGTCTTGAATCGGTTCGAAGCTTCATTGACCGAAAAATGGGCCTTTTTTGGGATTTTAGGGATGTTTCAGGCCCATTTTTTCCCAATTTTGTCGTGAGAAAACCTGTGCCGTCATGGGTATTGATTATTAGGTAATTTCGGGCGAGAAATCGAATGCGCTTGGTCCCGAGTCACTCCGGGGCTTCTTAGGCCGAAAAATTTTTCTCGGCTTGGTTGGGTTAAGATTATTTGTTTGACCGAAAAAGGAGGGAAAATAGTTATTCTGCATTTATAAATATTATACATCCACAAGAGGAGTTCATTTTTCGAGTCCAAATTTATACCGTCTCTTCATAAAGCGCATACGATTTCTCGTCAGAAGGTCTTTGAAAAAGAGAAATTGATGTGTACGGCATATTTTCTCGGTCGAAATAAAAATTATTGATAGGAATACCGCTAATACCGCCGGTGGATGTATTCCTTTGGATATCTCGTGATTGATATTGATTTGTTACGTTGCAGCACTAGAAATTGAACTAGATCTCATGATCAGAGAAATATGTATTTGGAAAATTTGTCCAAGTATCATGAAAAAGAAATATTCCTCATACACAAACCACAACTTACTTATTCAGGAGTCTCATTTTAAAGTCAAAGAAAGGCCAATTTCAGCATCCAGTTTGAACATAAAAGACAAAAAATATTTTCAAAGCTCTTCCGGAGCTCCACCTGGGCCTACTGCTCATTCTTGGATTAGGAAGCCCCGGATTGACTCGTGACCAAGCGCATTCGATTTCTCGCCCGAAATTACCCAATAATCAATACCCATGACGGCACAGATTTTCTCACGACAAAATTGGGGAAAAATGGGCCCAAAACATCTCTAAAATCCCAAAAAGGCCCATTTTTCGGTCAATGAAGCTTCGAACCGATTCGGGACCCTGCTCAATCGATTCCTGGTCCAAAAATACGTAGATTTTATCATACATGTACCATTTTGCATATGCACAACCCATCGGAATTGAATCATTGATCGTTTTTGAAGGCCATTTTAGCGCCAAAAACACAAAAATCGATTTTATTTTCGAAGAGCTCGACAGAATATTTTCATTTTAGGCTTAAATGACTGTGTATGCATCCTACTTCAAGATCCCGAAGGAATTTTGAGTGGGCAACACTATTTTATTTACCTCCCTCTGAAACGAACCGCGCAATGGCGCGGTCAACTTCACATCGCGCTCTGCTTGTGGGAACGTGGCTTCATTCACACCAAAACACACAGAGCGAGGCTCTCCAGCTTATTATGTGAGATAAGTGAGTGCAATGCGTCTCATCTGCCCCTTCGATTCCAGACGACACGACGACGCGACATGAATAAAGTTCCCTCCCGTCTGTCCTTTTATTATTTATTTCCTATTTTCTCCTGGTTTTTTTACTCAGACATATAGAGGATTACGAATGCTTCGCCTCTGAGTGCATTCTATGACTCTTCACACTTCAAGGGGGAAAAAAATTGCAGACTTCAATGCACAATGGATCACTAAACAGGGTACGAGATTAAGGACCGGCAGTCCGGCTCTACCACCTCTGATAGAATGAAAACATCTACACAGAGAAAAAAGCTTCGTGCGTGGGACCTGAAATTTAGGTCTAATGGATCTCTGAAGTTTTCGGATTGAGCATCTGAACACTATAGGCCCAGCTGCCAAGGTTTGGATCACACATCTGAAACTTCAGTTCTTACTTCTAAAGTACTTCAGTTTTCACATCTGAAAAACTTCGGTTCTCACATCCGAAAAACTTCGGTTCTCACATCTGAAGTACTTCAGATGAAGAAGAACTGAAGTTTGAGATGCGTGATCCGAACCTCGACAGCTAGACCTAAAGTGTTCAGATGCTCAATCCAAAAACTTCAGAGATCCATATGACCTAAACTGCGGGTCCCACGCACGAGGTTTTTTTCTCCATGCATGAGTCGGGCCTATAGACCGCAAATTCTTGGGTCTGCATTCTCTGTTTTTTTTTTTTGGTGGGGGGAGGGGAGTTGCAAACGATTAAAAGTGAACGAATGCTACAACAGTATTACAGTAAGTCGCATCTTTCATTCAAAATGGGGTTAGTATTTCCGTATTTTAAGCGATTTTCCATCTCAACATTAGGCATACTCGCCTTCGGATAGAAAGATTGGCAATCAGCAGTGCGACAAATCGATGGCAAGAATCCGAAGCCCTGTATCTCCGTTTGCGCCGTTGCAAACATCCTGTCATACTTCATTTTTTTCATTTGAAAACTAATCCACTGGGAAAAAAACGCATTGGATCTAGAGTCCAGAGTCTTGAAAACATTGACAAGAAAAAATACTCTTGATTCAATCAAATTTTTGCTGAAAATCAAAACGAAATCCGCTTAAATTAAGAGGCTTGGTTCTTGATTTAAGCAAAAATCCGATGAAATCAAGAGTATTTTTTCTTATTGATGTTTTTTAGAGTTTCGACTCTAGATCCAATGTGTTTTTTTTTTCCAGTGTCGATTTAATTTGAAAACTTCTTTAATTTTGCGTCTCTATTCTCAGACATTTCTGTAATAATTTCAAGCAAGGTAGTTGACTTGTTTCTCCTTGAAAAAACAAAAGAGGAGTAGAGATTTTGATGTATCGCAATGGAGAATCGTGGGTTCGCACTTTAGCCATCGATATGCCATTTCTAAAGGTACATTCTAAACCCCTTGTAATATTCCTCCTTATCATTCAGAGTAACCGGGTAACTAGCGCGCCCCAGGTCAAGCTTCCGCCGTTGGATTGTGTTTTTTTTACTGCCTCAGATAGCGAGACCATTACGTGTTTCCTGTGTAACATCTGAATGTGTTTCAGAGAATGAAGTGGTTGCACAGCCCACATTTTTACGAAAATCACTCCCCTGTGAACCCTTGCACATGCGGGAGAATCGTCCAGTCCCCGGCGAACGTCAGAACTTAACCCGGCGCACAGAGGAAAAATTCAACGCATGGGGAAAATAAGTCCTCACAGAGGAACCAAACCAGGAATGATAAAAGTTTTTCTGATAAATACCTCTTTGGAATGGAGAGTTTGCACGAGAAAATTTTATTGCCTCATATGAAACTGCTTGATTCGCTGAGTTCATAGAATTTTTACATTTTTTTTTAAATAGGAGATAGAGGGAAAGTAGATTCAAGCCGAAGAAAATGTACCTCCTCGTGACCTCGTAAAGCGGCATTTCCCATTTTAACACATGTACTTTAGCAGATTAAATCACTTTGTCTTAAATCTTTTAAAACACTTGTTTAATTTCAAAACTAAGGATATTCGCGTGCTCAGGGAGAGTTCACGTCAAATAAGTTTACGTACTTTTAGACTGCGACAGGAGATGGGTCATCCTGATTAGTGCATTTACTTTCAATGCTAGTCTGACGTACGACGATCTTCTGTCACAGTCTAAGGGTGCGTAAAATTATTTGGAGTGGACTCTAATTGTGAATTTGCAGGTACGTCTAAAATTTGATTTTTATATTTATGTGTGGATACAACTGAGAGACTGAGCCCGAAGTGAACTTGGTTTCTAAATTGAACGACTATCGAAGGAGTCATGACCAAGTGCCCTAATCTGCTAAAATACATGTGTTTAAATGGGTAATGGTGCCAGATAACGTCACTGGGCGGTGCATCATTTTCTAATTTTACAAATTATGAAAAATACTGGGAACTTAGCTCACCAAGCACTGTCGGATGAAGCAATAAAAGTTTTCGTGCCAACTCACCAATTAGTATAGTTCCCTTTAAACTGAAATTTTAGAATCTTGCAAATCCTCGATGTGAGATTTGGTCAGGTTCAAAGGTAAAATGCACCAAAGTGCGCCACAAAGGCTCGTTAAGGCTAGTGTAATTTTTGCGGAGGATCCCCACGATGGGATGTGATGCGGGTGTCGTTTTTAGTGGGAGTAGGCGCAGGGTTGTCTGCAATTTACCTGAGGATCGGTTTGGGTTGTTTCAGCTGGGGGGCGGTTGAGTCGGGCGACCGCGTTGGATCCCTGTGCAGTCGTAACCGGACCTCCTCCCCGCATTGCCGCAGGAACGCCACAGCCCGCTCATGGCTCAGCGCTGAGAGGTCCACTCCGTTTACCTATCGACAAACGAAGAATAGAACAGGAAGTTAAAAATGGGTCACTTGCACAGACTTCGAAATTAAATTTAAGTTAAAATTAAGTAAAATAATATTTAAAGTTAAGATAGGCTAAGTTAGTTAAGTTAAGTAGTATTAAATTTAAGTAGTTGAATTTAATTTTATGTCTGATCCGGCAGAATAATTGGGTATCCCAATTTACCGGGCAGATTAATGTTGTTCTTTATTTTATGTTTTACTTTTAGAAAGAAATATTTTATCTTATCTTAAATAATTCAACTACAAAAATAAAACAATACGCGTCTAAAAATATTGAATATCGTGGTTCGAAGTTATTTTCAGTCATTTTCGATGCGAGAATCGTGTTCTACATTCTATCGTATGTTCGTGTGAAATTCTGGTTAAGAAATATATAACAGAATGCTTAAACTCGTTCCTTGTCTAATGGTCAGTTCAACTACCGTGGCGATGTCCGCAGCCGTGATACATACAACTATTTAGACGCGAAAGAATGCGTATTGCCTACATGGCCAACTGAAGGCGAACAAGTGCACTTGTAGCAGTGTTGTGTTATCAATGGGCCACTAGACAAAGTTACAAAGTTTTAAGCACTCTGAGACATGATCCTAGACCAAAATTTCACGTAAAACACGATTCGCGCGACGAAAATTACTGACATTAACAACTCCTAACCGAGGTATAAAATGTTTCTTGACGCATGAATTCAAAACTCCCGCTCATGAAATAATAAAACTTTACGTGAGTCAAATCAAGCACTAAACGTCGTTGCAGCAGTCTTTGAGGCATGAAAATGTGGCAACCTCAATCATGGCGATTTGAATTAGTTGTTACACGTTGTGTACCCTTTAAATTACACAAAGAACATTGCTCGATTAAGAAGTCTGGCAAAGCTGTAGTGCGCGATTTGACTCAAGTAGAGGATTGCGTTTCTTGTGGCCAGAGCGATTCAAATTTTCCGTGATCAATGTAAAATAGAAACGATAATATCTCAGTTAGGAGTTGATTTCAGTCATTTTTAATGCAAGAATCGTGCTTCACGTGAAATTCAGAATAGGAAACATGTGTCAGAATGCTTAAATTCGCACCTCGTCTAATGCTCTGTTCAACTACCGTATAATAGCGATGGCAGTAGCCGTGATACATACAACTATTGAGACGCGGAAGACCGCGTTTTGCCTACTCAGTCAATTGAAGGCGAACAAGAGTACTTCCTGCACACTGCAGTATTGTGTCATGAATTGGTTACACATGGAGCAAAAAGGCAACTAAAAGAGTTCCTTCCCTATCAACAATGGAGTTCTTTTATCTACCAGGGATTTGCATTTTAAGTACTTATCCTTATATTAAATTTTGCGAGCAATACGATGATCAAACTATCTAGTCCAACTCTTCATGCCAAAACCAAGGGCACAATCGCGTGTCTCGCGAAATTAAATATGTGAAGCACTGAAAATGCAAACCCTTAACGCATGCAAGAACTTCAATTTATTTTAAAAAATGAATCCGTTTTCTTTTCTTTCTTTCTTTTTTCCCCTTTTTCAAATGTTAAACTAGGATAAAATAATTTACTTTCTCTCTCTCTCTCTCTCTCTCACGGGAGTTGATTCCTCACCTATTCAATGCATGTGCGCAACAATTTCTACGCGAAATTTTGATGGGGCGACGTTGGGATCATTACTATAAAGTCGCAAACTCAGCTCAATTCATGGAGCTCAAAAAGGCGAGAACTCTTCAGCCGAGATTATTTAAGATTTCAGGTGCGAAATTACCGGAGTTACGATTGGCACAGGTGGGGCACAACAGCGCGCCCCGCGGCGCCGGGGCGAAACCCGATCCGCGGAGGGTGAGTGACGGTCGGCGATGCCAACTCTCAACATTTTCCCGATGGATTTCAATGTAAAATATCTGCATTGATCGTGATAACTGGCAACCCTGCCGTCGGCGGATTCGTGGCAAATGCATAAATATGCGGAATTCCTGGTTTCTTAACAATATTTGTTGGCTCGTTAAGCGTCGAGCTTTTGGAGGAAAGCTCCTTGGCGTTGACGACGACGGCTCAATGTGAAGCCATTTCCATACTTCGCGCCTCGCTTTCCAAACCAATGTTGCCAGCTCAATTTAATTTCCGGGGATTTTGGAAATTCGGTGTCATAGCAGAGTGACAAGGTACCTTGGATTTTAAAATGCGTTTGTTACAAATGATTCCTCGAGCGAGAAGGAGAGTTGCTTCAAACGGAACTTGGCTTACAAATCACGATGATTACATTTGAAGAGTATCGACGCATAAGTAACGCCTTCATTGTGAAAGGATACTTCCTAGCGCGGCCTCGAAGGCCGAATAGTTGCATCATTCAGAAACTCATTCAGCAGTGTAGTAGCGTGTATTAGTGAATAAATGCGATTGCTTCGTTGCGAAAGCAACGCCTTCATTGTGAAAGGAGACTTCTTAGCATGACTTTGGAGGCAGAATAATTGCATCACTTGAAAACCCAATCAACAGTACACGTCTCACTTACATTAACTAGAAATACAGTTGCTTCACTTAATAATTCTTTTATGAAGAGTGACGACGCATAAGAAACGCCTTCATTATGAGAAGATACTTTAAGGGGGACCGCGGAGGCCGAATAGTTGTATCATAAAACCGAATAGAAAATATAGCAGAATATATTTATTTCTTTATTTCTCACGGAAAAATTAAATTGCTGATTTAACGATTCAATTGCTTAAAAAAGTGACTGGAATGTTTCAACGTAGATTTTACAACAAAAAAATGCTACTTTAACCACTATTGTACGCTAATTTAACCACGGGGGTGGTTGAAATACCATTTTTGTGTAGTAAAATCTACATTGAAACATTGCAGTCACTTTTTTTTTTTTTTTTTTTTTTTTTTTTTTTTTTTTTTTTTCAATTGAATCGTTAAATCAGCAATTCAATTTCTTCCGCGCTTCCTTCCTTTTATCAGTTTGTCCAGAAATCTCATTTGTAGTAAGGGTAATAGATACACGTCACATTTTTTTTATTTTTTCTTTTTCAGTAAAAGAATAACAATTATTAATTTGAAAGATTCAATCGGAAAGCACTCCGGGAACGATTCAACATGTTCGGTCCGAGCAAAAAATAACATTATTGAAAAAATGCTCTTCATCAGCAAAAATACAATTTCGCGGGCGAGAATTCCAGTCGTACACGTTCTCGAGAGAGCCTGCCGACCGTTTCCTACCACTCACCCTTCCTCCCTGAAAAATCCACCACAGTATACGTTCCCTTCGATGAGGATTCCCACTGCGGGATTCGACGGCAACATCGCCCACGTAGCTCGCACAATCGCTTAAAGCCCCGCGCGAGAAAATCCGCGCACGGACGGAATTTCCGAACTTAATTAGCTGGAAACTTCGGGGCTGTCGGAATGCCAGACCACCCCCAAACCCCCCAACCAACAACCTCGCTAAGTCAAAACGCCGTATGAGCCCCCGGACATTGCCAAAATCCCCCAGATAAAATATACATTTTAATAGAAAATTATAAAGTTTCCTCCGTTAAATTTTCACATACCATAGATTAAATTGCAAAGAAAATTGTCCCAAAAATGATGGAAAAAATATTCAGAAGTTTCCACGAAAATTAGTGTTTTAAGAAAGGTAATTTGGCAATGTATGAAGGCATGTACGGTGTATTTCCTTAGCACGGTATACGTCCGGATTCCGGGGCGGAAATCTGCCGGCCGTGGCGGGTGCATATCG